ACCTACGCGATCGCGCGCGAGAAGGCGGCCATCGCGTCGCCCCGGGGCGTCCTCGTCCTATCCGGCTCCCTCGACGCGGCCGCGCGGCGCGGCGCCGCCGAGGTCGCGCGGCGCCGCGGCGCGGCCGTCGTCGCCGCGGCGCCGGCGCGCGCCGCGCCGGCGACCGCGGCCGCCGCCGCCGCGCCGTTCCACGGCGCGAACCTCGCCGTGGCCGCCGCCGTCCTCGACGCCTGCGGCGACCGCTGGCGCGACGGCGCCGTGCGCGGCGCGGTCCTCGACGACCGCCGCACGCTGAACGCCGCGGCCGCGGCGCTGCCGGCGCGCGGCGAGCTGCTCCGCGACTCCGTGCTCGTCGACGGCGGCCACACGGCCGGCGCCGTCGCCCACGTCGCCGCGCGCGCGCGGCGCGCGAAACGCGGCCGCGACGCCGTGCTCCTCGTCGCGCTCCCGCGGGACAAGGACGCGGCGGCCTTCGCCGCGGCGCTCGCGGCCGGCGGCTTGGACCCGCGCGCCGCCGTGACCTGCGCCGTCGACGGCGGCTTCCACTCGCCGCGGAAGCTCGCCGCGCTCCTCGGCGCCGCGGCGCCGGACCTGCGCGTCGTCGCGTGCGACGGCGGGCCCGAGCGCGCGCTCCGCCGGGCCAAGGCCCTCGCGACGCCGCCGCGGCCCGGGAGGAAGGCGACGGCGCGGCGCCGCGGGCCCCGGGGCCGGCCCGAGGCCCTCGTCGTCGCGCTGGGCTCCTTCAAGCTCGCGCGGGCCGCGGCGCGCGCGCTCGCGCTCTACGAAAAGCCTTAGCAGATCATCGGGCTGAGCATCTGGACCTGGAACTGCTCGCCCTTCTTCGCGAAGGGCGGCACGTTGATCTGGTAGACGAGGTTCGGGAGCTTGTCCGCCGCGGCCTCGGACGTCATCCGGGGGATCTCCACGTTCATCTCGTCGCCGGGCCCGTAGCCCTCGGGCAGGTCGAAGCGCGCGTTCGGGATCGGGTCCAGCGGCGGCACGGGCTCGGGCTTGCCGTCCGGCGGCGCCCCGGCCGGCTCCGCGGTGTGGTCCACGCGGTCGAAGACGGGCATCGGCGCGCCGTCGTAGGCACCGAGCGTCTTGTCGCTGACCCAGCCGACGACGCCGCCGCCGCGCGTCGGGCCCACAATGTCGAAGAGCGTCGCGACGCGGGACCGCGGCGCCCTTTTGTCGCAGCCCGTGACGCCCCGCTCCAGCACTTCCACCACCGTCCCCGGCGGCAGCTCCCAGACCGCGCGCGAGTCGAACTCGCGGCCGCGGCGCGCGACGGCGCCCTTGGCGTGGACGACGCGGAGCGGCCGCTCGAGATTCCCCCGGAACGGGTCCCGGACCAAAATCCAGCCGCCTCGGTCCGCGTTGACGACGCGCTCGTAGTCCGCGGCTCTGGGGAACTCCGGGTCCAACCGGAGCCGCATCTCCAGCAGCGCCTTCACCGTGGCCCGCGTCTCGCGCCACCAGTAGGCGCCCGCGGCGATCTCCGCCCACCCTCCCGCGAACGCGCAGACGCCCCGGTGGTCCCGGGGCACCTCGACGACGAGCTCCGCGCCCTTGAGCGGCGGCAGCTTCGCGAGGTCCTCGTCCAGGAGCGGGAAGGGCTCGAGGGCCGCGGCGCGGCCCGCCTGCGCGCTCACGTTCGACCGCGCCTTGGCGAGGAACACGGCGCCCGACGGCAGGCCCGCGTAGTCCGCGGGCGCCGCCGCGCAGATCAGCGAGTCCGCGGCCGTGAAATCCTGCTTCGCGCGGCAGCTCTTCTCCAGTTCCCTCAGCTCCTCGCGCTGCACGACGTTGCGCCAGAACACCGCCGTCGCCTCGCGGAGCTGCTTGGCCCGCTGGGCCCGCGCGAACTCGTCGAGCGCGTGGCCCGGCGGGTCCGCGTCGATCAACGCGCCTTCCTTCTTCGCGTAGAGCCGCGACGCGTGGCTGCCCAGGCGCGCCTCGCCGTGGTACTGGTCGACGCTGTCCATGGACAGCTGCGCGTCGCGGTCGACGACGACGACGGCGTGCTCCGACCGGGCCGCGGACACGTCGGCGTCGTCGTCGGCGGCGCCGGACCGCTGCTGGAGCTTCGCGGCGCGCGAGCGGATCGCGTCGCCGACGTCGCTGAGCGTCGCGTAGAGGCCGCCGTCGACGAGGAGCGCGGTCGCCGCGGTGAAGGCCCTGTCGGCGTCGACGCCGAAGCCCCGCTCGCGCGCCGCGTCGGCCGCGGCGTCCTGGCACGTCGCGTCGGCGCAGACGACGAGCGACGCGTCCGCGTACAAGTCCCTGCGGTCCCGCGACGCGAGCACGAGCTCGTCGACGGACGCGAGCGCGCGGCAGTTGTCGCAGTCCGGGTAGACGTAGTCGGAGATCTGCGACAGCGCCGCGAGGACGCGCTCCTTCGTCGCCAAACGCTGCTCCTCGGGCACCACGAGAGGCCCGGTCGTCGGCGCCGCGTCGCCGCAGCAGTGGCAGCGGCCCCAGAGGCCGAGCAGGGCGTCCTCGCACGCGTCGACGTGGCCGTCGTCGTCGCTTTCGAAGGCGCCGCCGTAGAGCGGGTCCACGAGGAGCACGGCGCGCGCGCGGATGCCGTACTTGGCCTTGAGCGTGCACAGGATCTCGAAATCTAACAGGCAGAGCCCGCTGCCGATGGACACGTAGCGGAGCGGCGCCCGCGGGCCGACCTTCTCCGCGTAGGCCGCGCAGAGCCGGTCCACGAAGCCCCGGCGGACGCCCGGCTTCGTGAGGCGGTGCGTGCCGCAGGTCCGGTCGCCGCACTCGCCGAGCGCGTCGACGACGCCGAGGCACTCGAGCGCGTCCGGCGGCGACACGAAGCCGCCCCGGTGCGCGAAGCCGCGCCAGGCCGCCGTGGGCACGAGGCGGTCGAGGCGCTGCTTCGCGAGCTCGAGCCGGTGGATCGCGTGCTCGTCCGCGAGCGCGCTCCGCTCGCAGCGCCAGGCCTTCCAGGGCTTCGACGGCGCGCCCTTCTTCGCGTCCTCAAAAAAACCCTTCTTCAGCACGGGCTTCTTCGGCGCGGGCTTCATGAAGCCGGACGCGTAGGTCCCGTCGAGCGTCTTCGCCGCCTCCCGCGCTTTCGCCTTGTCCTCGGCGACCTTGGCCTCGTAGCCGGGCGACACGAGCTGCTTGCCGTCGGGGAGCCGCGGCCGCAGGGGGTCCTCCTCGGCCTCCTTCTCCGCGTCGCCTTCGAAGACGCGGTACGTGACGCCGCCCCTCACCTCCGTCTTCGCGTTCGCCTCGGACGCCGCCGCCGCGTCGCGCTCCCGCTGCGCGTCGACGGCGCGCATGGTCTCGCTGTTGGCGTCGTGCTCGACGGCGTCGCGGTACGACTTGTCCGCGGCGTCCTTCGGGGGGCGCTCGAGGGGGCGCGGCAGGTCGCCCGCCTCGCCGCGGAGCTCCTTGAGCCGCTTCTTCGCCTTGTGCTTCTTCTTCTTGTACTTCTTGAGCTTGTGCTCGATGGCCGCGAGCTGCGCCTTGGGCGCCTTCTGCCGCCAGTGGTAGACGAGGGCGTCCTCGAGCTTCTCGATGCGCTTCTCGTAGAGCGCGATCGACGTCGCGAGGTCGCCGTCGCCGTCGCCGTCGCCGTCGTCGTCCGCGGCCGCCTCGGGCGCCGCGGTCGCCGCCTCGGGCGCGGCGGTCGCGTCCTCCGGCGCGGCGGTCTCCTCCGGCGCGGCGGTCGCGTGCTCCGGCGCGGCGGTCGCGTGCTCCGGCGCGGCGGTCGCGTGCTCCGGCGCGGCGGTCGCGTCCTCCGGCGCGTGCTCGGGCGCGGGCGGCGCCGCGCCGCGCGAGAGGTCGAGGACGCAGCCGCGGGGCAGCTGCGCGCGCACGGTGGCGCCGACGTCGACGGCGCGGCCGCCGACGGCGCAGGCGAGGTCGCCGAGGGCCGCGGGCCGGAAGGCGCCGGGCGCCTTCTTCGCGCCCTTCTTGTTGAAGCCGTCGACGACGGCCGCGAGCAGCTCGGCGACGGGCGCGTCCTCGAGCTTGCGCGGGCAGACGATCTTGGCGGAAAGCGGCTTCGCGAGGCCCGCCGCCGCCCAGGTGACCGTGAACTCGAGCTTCTCCGCGGCCATGGCGGCGGCCGCGACGTCGAAGGCGACTGTCCTGAGAGCTGTGGCTGCCCGGCTCTGTGGCAATTTTGGGGACGTTTCGCGACCCGTTGAAAATGTTGTATTGCAAGTCGAAGTTGACGCCGGTTGGTTCCGTCCGCGCTGCAGGCTGCCCATGATGCACATGGACCGGCCGTGACGAGCCCGTCCGACCGCCCGACCCCCTCGCCGCCGCGGCGCGCGGCCGCCCGCCCGCCGCCCGAGCGCCGGCGGCGCCCGCCGGCTCGGCACACGCGACCGGCATGGGCGCGCCCGCCGCGTCCCCCGCATAGCGCGGTGTTCCGACGCCCCGACGCCCCCCCCCCCGACCCGCAGGCGCGGGCGTGTCCGTCCAGCCGAAGCCGGCGCCGGACCACGGCTACGCCATGGCCGTCGACGAGAACAGCAAGCCCTGGCAGGCGTCGCCGGCGCCCGAGGCGCCGGCCGCGCGCGGCCGCGCTCTCTCCGCGCCCGTGGGCCTCGAGAAGCCGCGGCCGTCGCCCAACGGCCTGCGGCGCGCGTCGAGCAACGCCGGCGCGGGCAAGAACTGGACCAAGGCCAAGTACGCCGTCAAGGGGGCCTCCGCGTTCGGCGCGGCCGGCGCCGCGCTCGCGGGCCGCCGCGCGGAGGCGCGCGACGGCAGTCGCAACGGCTGGATCGCGTCGTCCTGCCACCTGGGCCCCGCGTCCCACCGCAAGCTCGAGTCCTTCGAACTCGTGCGCGTCGTCGGCCGGGGCGTCATGGGCGAGGTGACCCTGGCCAAGTTCCGGAAGGACGGCAAGTTCGTCGCGCTCAAGGCCGTGTCCAAGGGCTACGTCGCCAAGCACAACGACGAGCGCCACGTCCAGAACGAGCGCGCGATCCTCACGCGGCTCCGCCACCCCTTCGTCGTGTCGCTCTTCGGCACGTTCCAGGACAAAAAAAAGGTGTATTTCGTCATGGAGTTCGTCGCGGGCGGCGAGCTCTTCTCGAAGCTGCGGGGGAACCAGTGCCTCACGGCGCCCGTCGCGCGCTTCTACCTCGCGGAGATCCTCTCCGCGCTGGCCTACGTCCACGCGAACGGCTTCGCGTACCGCGACCTGCGCGTCCGCCCGCGCCCGCCGTTGTTTTTCGCCGGAAACCGTTCCCCCCTCCCAGGAAACCGGAGAACGTGCTCCTGGACCTCGACGGCCACTGCCGGCTCATCGACTTTGGGTTCGCGTGCGCGCCGCCGGGCGGGCCCGACGGCCTCATGCGCACGAACTGCGGCACGCCCGCGTACCTGAGCCCCGAGCAGCTGTCGCGGAAGAAGACGGGCGGCTACACGCGCATCGTCGACTGGTGGGCCTTCGGGTGCGTCGCCCACGAGCTCATGACGGGCCACACGCCCTTCTGTAACCGCGGCCGCGTCCGGCGGAGGTGTTCGCGCGCGTCCGCGACGCCCCCCTTTAGGCAAGGACCACAAGGAGGACTCGCACTACGCCATCTACCTCCGCGTCATCAAGGGCCGCATCTCCTTCCCGTCGTTCCTCGGCGCGACGCCGAAGAGCCTCGTGAAGGCGCTCCTCAAGGCCGGCAAGGGCCGCCTCGTCGACGCGCCGTCGATCACGGGCCACGAGTTCTTCGGCGGCGTCGACTTCGCCGCCGTCGAGCAGCGGCGCGTGCGGCCGCCTCAGGAGCCCCTCGTGCTCTCCGCGGGCGACGCGAGCCAGTTCGACGAGTACCGGGAGCGGCCGTGCCCCGAGGACGACCTCGACTCGTCGAAGGTCTCCTTCGCCGGCTTCTAGACGCGAAGCCCCGTAATTGACAGATATGCGCAGGGGGCGGAGGAAAAGGGGAGGGGTTCTCAGAGGGGCAGGGGCGGCGGGCTCTCCCAGGCCGCGGCCCAGGCCGCGCCCGCGTTCGCCTTTCGCGCGCGCGAGAAGCGCCAGCCGTCGCGGCCGTCGACGTCGACGCCGTCGCGCACGAGCAGATCGTTCCAGGGGCAGGGCACGAGAAGCCGCGTGTCGCCGGATCGCGGCGCGACGTCGCTCCGCTGCGGGAAGAGCGGCGCGTGGTCCCTCAGGAACGTCGCGAGGCGCGCGGCCTGCCAGGTTTCCACGCCCCAGTCCGTGTCGTCGCCGGGCGCCGCCAGGTCGCGCCGCGGCGGCTCGAGGTCGAGGAACTTGGCCAGCTTCACGAAGGTCCGCTCCGCGCATTCCGCGACGACGCGGCCCGCCTCCGTGTCGTCGCGGAGGCCGAGCCAGATCGCAAAGTCCTGGAGCGACGCGCAGAGCCGGCCCGCGAGCCGCGCGTCCTCGTGCGCCGCGCCGACGAGGAACGGCGCGAAGCGCATGCCCCGCCAGCCTATAAACCGCGGCGCGCGGAACGCGCCCTGGCGGCTCCGGCCCTCGCCCGCGTTCGCTAGAAACGCGAAGAGCGTCGCCAGACCGTGGGCGAGCTCGTAGCGCGTCGCGCAGACGCCCTCGGCGGACGCGCAGCCGTGGCGCTCCTGCGCGAGCCAGGCCTTGAGCGTGCCGACGGCCATGGGGAGCCGGAGCCATCTAAGAACGGTCTCCCGATCGCCCAGCTCCGGGTGGGCGAGCACGGACTCGGGGCAGAGCTCGAGGCAGACGCCGCGCCAAAAGGCCTTCGCGAGGGGCGACCGCAGCCAGACGCGCGCCGCGACGGCCCACTCGCGGCAGACGAGCGAGCAGCGGCGCACGTCGCCCGGCCCCGCGATCGCGTGGTCGCAGACGACCTGGGCGCTCGGCTCCGACGTCGGCCGCGCATCGCCCCCGCCCTGGGACACGAAGCGCAGCAGGTCGCGCCGGTGCCGCAGCCGGCTCTCGACGAGGGCCTCGCGGCAGGCGTGCTGCTTGCGCTGCCAGTCCGTCCGCGCCGAGACCATGACGCGCCGCCAGCTCGGGTCGGCGCCGGGCATGGGGCCGGACGCGCGTCGGGGGCCGTCAGAGGCGCGTCCCGGGCGGCGGATTCTACGCTGGCAGGACCTTCTGGGGCGCGAACAATCAATGCCGCACTGAGCTGAGGTTTGTGTGAGGGGCAACGTCGGGCAGCGTCACTTCAAGGTCCGTGCTTACCACAGCAGGTGAGACGACGAGCTTTGCACCGATTAAGCACGCAACGACCCACGCGTCCATGCGCCGCACCGCCTCCCCACCAAAAGCCCCGCAGCGATGAGACGTCTGCTCCTCCTCGGCGCCGCCGCCGCGGCGCGCGCGGCGCCGCGGCTCGTGCTCGTCGGCGAGACGGGCGCGGGCAAGTCGACGCTCGGGAACCGGCTCCTGGGCCGCGGCGCCTTCGCCGTCGGCGGCGGCTTCGACGCCGTCACGGCCGCCGTGCGCTGCGAGACGGGCCGGTGGCGCGGGCGGCCCGTCGAGGTCTGCGACACGCCGGGCTTCAACGACGACGGCCGCCGCGACGGCGACACGGCGGCGGCGATCTTGAGCGTCGCGAACGGCACGGCGGGCCTCGTCTACGTCCACAACGCGCGCGCCGCGCGGCTCAGCCGGAGCGCGCGAAGAACGATGAAGCTCGTCGTCGCCGCGATCGCCGACGGCGGCGCGCCGCCGCCCGTCGGCCGCGTCGCCTTCGTGCTCACGCGGTCCCTGGGCGGCCTCGACGGGCCCCTCTGGCGGCGCCAGCTGCCGCCGGCGCTCTGCGCCAAGTTCGGCGCGTGCGCCGCGCCGCCGACGCTCGCCTTCGCGGGCGTCGGCCGCGCGGCCGTCGACGCCGCGGCGCTCGTCGCGCCGCGCTTCCGCCGCGCCTTCGGCGCCTGGCTCGACGCCGTGTCGCGCGAGGCGCCGCTCGCCGCCGCGGCGCCGCCGGCCGACGCCGGCGCCGCCGCCTGCGACGCGCAGGAGGCCAAGTGGCGCGCCTGCGTCGCCGCCGCTAAAACCTAGGGCGACCGCGCCCTCTCGAGCCTCGCGTCCTCGGGGGAGCCGCCGCGTTAGACGACGCCCGCGCCCGCCCGCCGCCCGATCTAGACGGCGATCTCGCCCGAGTCCGCGATGACGACCTTCTTCTTCGTCTTGCCGGACTGGGAGCCCATCTTCTCGACGGCCTTGACGACGTCCATGCCCTCGATGACCTTGCCGAAGACGACGTGCTTGCCGTCGAGCCACGACGTCTTGATCGTCGTGATGAAGAACTGCGAGCCGTTCGTGTCCTTGCCCGCGTTGGCCATGGACAGGTAGCCCGCCTCGCCGTGCTTGATCTTGAAGTTCTCGTCCTTGAACTTCATGCCGTAGATGGACTCGCCGCCCGTGCCCGTGCCGTGCGTGAAGTCGCCGCCCTGGAGCATGAAGTTGGGGATCACGCGGTGGAAGATCGAGTTCTTGTAGCAGAGCTCCTTGCCGCTCTTGCCCACGCCCTTCTCGCAGGTCGACAGGGCGCGGAAGTTCTCCACGGTCTTGGGCACGGTGTCGCCGAAGAGGCCCATGACGATGCGCCCGGCCGAGACGCCGTCGATCTCGACGTCGAAATAGACCTTGTGCGTGATCGCCTCGAGGTCCGCCGTCGCCGGGGCGAGGAGCGCGAGGCCCGCGACGAGGGCGACGGTGGCGGCGGCGAGCTTGAACATCCTGGCGCGGAGCGGCGTGATCGTGCAAGAGAGCGGGGCGCGCGGCTTCGACAAGTGGAGCCCGCGATTCGGCGAGGCCGGACTTGCAAAACTCAAGATGCCCTACGAGCTCCGATGTTAACCTCGTGACATCACGGCCCCTTCTCGAAACGCAATGGAGGCGCCGTCGGAGGGCAGCCCCCTCCTCGGGGCGGGCGCCCGCCGGCGGCGCGCGCCGGCCGTCGCGTTCGCCTGCGCCGCCGCCGCGGCCCTCGGCGTCGCCTACACGCACGCGACGCCCGCGCACGCGACCCCGTCCCTGCGCGCGACGACGACGACGGCGCAGTGGACGCCCTTCGAGAAGCCCTTCGTCGAGACCTGGTCCGCCGGCGACGGGAGCGTCGAAATCGAGGAGCACCTCGTGCCCTACGGCTTCCTGAGCCAGGCGTACGCCTATTGGCGCTGGGGCCTCAACGGCGCGCTCTCCTCGTCGGCGCGCGGCCCCTCCGCGACGAGCCACTTCTACCCGTCCGCGGCGCACCTCGCCCGCGCCGTCGAGCGCGGCGCCATCGCGCGGCACGCCGTCGTCTACGTGGACGTGCGCTACGCGGCGCTCGACACGTCCTGGGACGCCAAGCGACTCGCGCGCGACTTTGGGCTGAAACCCAAGGCGCTCAACGCGCGCGGCGCGCGGTCGCCGGGCCTCGACGAGGTCGCCATGGACCCGACCTGCGTCTACGACCACACGCCGGACCTCGTCAAGCGGTCGCGGCTCCTGCGGGCGCTGCTGGCGTACGACGAGCCGCTCACGATCGTCGTCGCCGGAGACGTCGCGTGCCGCCTCAAGCTGCCGGCGACGCACCACGCCTACGTGCTGAGCGGCGACGCCGGCGCCGCGAGCTGCGCCGCCAACGGCGCCGCGTGGTGCGCCCCCCGCGCGGCACGCGAACCTTCTCGACTTCGACGGAACCGTCGCGCGCTCCCCCAAAGTACCGAGCTCGCGCGTGTGTGCAAGTTCGGTCGGAACCGTCGCGCGCGTCGCGGAGCGCTCGACGAGCGCGCTCGATTTTCCCCGAAATGGCCGAGCTCGCGCGTTTTTTGAAAGTTCGGTCGGGAACCCAACGCGCGCGCAGGTTCCCCCAGGGCCTCGAGGGGCTGCCGAGCTACGGCTTCCGCGGCGGCGGGTCCCCCGAGACCGTCGCCGCCGCGGCGCCGCGGCCCTGGACGCCCCTCGCGGACCGGACCGCGCTCCTCGACGACGGCCTCAGCGTGAACCCGCGCAAGCCGAGCCGCGAAAAGCTCGTGAAGGCGCTCCGCGGCGGCCAGGGCGCGGCGCTCGAGGCCCTCGCGGCGCGGGGCGGCCGGGGGCTGCGATTGGAAACGTCGCTCGCCGACGGCGGCGACGTCGTCTACGGCGATTTAGGCGAGCCCGGCGACCACGACGGCGCCATCGCGCGGTCCGTCTTCGCGCTCTGCGCCGCCGGCGACGTCTGGAGCAGCGGCCGCGTGCTCGGCGCGCTCCGCGTCGGCGCGATCCCCGTCGTCGACGCGACGTACGCGACGGACGGCGGCGAGAGCGCCAAGGGCTGCGACGACCCCGCGCGGTTCTGGCGCGACGGCGGCGGCGGCTTCGACCGCGGCGCGCCCTTCGTCTTCGTCAAAGACTGGGACAACCTGGCGGAGGCGCTCGAGGGCTTCGGCGCGGCCGACGACGCCGTTTTAGAGACGCGCCTCGCGGACCTCGACGCGTACCGCGCCGCGCTCGAGGACCACCTCCGGGCCGTGCTGTTGGCGCGGCCGCCGGCGAAGACGCGAACCGCGTGCGCCGCGGCGCCGCTCTCGGCCGCCGACGAGCGCGACCAGCTCGCGGCCGTCGCCTCCTACTACGCGCGGGACTGGTACGGCGACCACGCCGACTCGCCCGCCGTGCCGGGCGCGACCTGCGGCACGACCCTGCCCACGGAGATGGAGGGCGTCGACCTGGGCATGCTCTGCTTCGACGCGGCCTGCGCGCCGCCCTCCGTCGCGGCCTTCGAGTGCCGGGACGCGTAAGTGCGAAGGTCGCGGAATGGTTTTGAATCTTCAACTGTCTGTGACATGAGGCCGATATTACGATGGGCATTGAGTTTTTAGCCCTCGTCGTCGGCGCTGCCGATCGAGCTCGAGGAGCCGCGCGTCGGGAAGAGCGCAGTCATGCCCCGCCTGCGCCTCTCGACGGCATCACGAGGCGATGTTTACAGAACCGTGCAGTGAAGTATCCAAAAAAGATGGACGTGTGAAGCGCGCTCAAGCGGTCCGTCGCTTGGACAATGTGCGCAGTGGCGGCTTCGGGCCGCGGCCCCGCCGCGCCCGCGAGGCGCCGCGAGGCGGCCCCGCGCTCGCGCCGCCGCCGCCGCCGCCTCCGCCGTCGGCGCCGCCGGCGTTGACGTGCTCCTGCGTGCCCGCGGCGCCGCCGCTGCCGCCACCTTTGCGAAAAAAAGCAACTTTATTCAGGTACTACAACTAAAGCGCGTCCAAAAGGCCAGTTCCAGATCTCGAGCTCGAAGCCGGCCTCAGTCCACGCCCCTATCCTCTGCGCCCGCCCCCTCGACCTACCTGGTCACTCTTTCGGCGCCCCGCGGCGTCCGGGGCCTCGTGACATCGATGGAGACGAGCCCGAGCCGCGCTGACGCGCCCCGAAACCGCGCAGGTCCAGCCGACGCTCCCCCCCCAGCTCCGCCCTCTCCACGGCCCCGGGGCAACGCTCGACGCGGGCGCGTTCCGGCGTCTGCCACACGACGCGACGCGCGCGCACGAGGCGCGCGGCCGGGCTCGCCCGGTCGGTGGTCGCCGCGCGCGCGCCGGCCGCGGGCGCGCCGCCGGTTTGACTGCCCGCCGCGCTCGCGTCGCGCGCGCGGCCCGGCACGCCGGCCAGGGCGGGCTCCGGCGCCCCGCCGCCGCCTCGCACGGGCGCGGGCGGGGCGCGGGCGCGCGCGACCCGGGGGCCGGGGCCTGCCCCGGGCGCTCGGAAATGTTCGAGAGTACGAAAGTACACGTCGCCCGCCGGCCGCGCGCCGCGCGCGGGGCCCGGGGCCCGGGCCCGGGGCCGCGGCGGGCCGCGCCCCCTCCGCCGCCGCCTCGCCCGGGCGCGCGACCGGACCAGCGCGCGCGCACGCGCGCGCGCGACCGGGGCCCGGGCCTGCCCGCCCCGGCGGCGCGCGAACCGTCGGCCCCGCGCAGGCCATGGACGACGACCTGCCGCTGGGCCCGCCGCCCGAGCAGCGGCCGCCGCCCGAGCACGGCACGCTCGCCGCGTTCGCCGCGGCCATGGCCGGCGGCGGCCGGGGCGCAGCTCGACACGGCCGCGGCGTCCAAGGTCCGCGACGACACGCTGCTGCCGCCGCCGGCGGGCGCCAAGTACTCGCTGGCCGTCGCCCAGTTCAATGGGACACGTCGGCCGTGACGGACATGCTCAGCATGTTCCACGATGCTGCCGCCTTCAACCAGAACATCGGCGGCTGGAACATATCGAAGGTGACGGACATGCAAGACATGTTCCGCAATTCTGCCTTCGACCAGGACATCGGCGCCTGGGACGTGTCGGCCGTGACGAGCATGCTGCGCACGTTTCAAGATGCTCGGGCTTTTAACCAGGACATCGGCGGTTGGGACACGTCGTCGGTCGGAAAACATGTTCGCCATGTCCGTCACGGCTGACGTGTTCCAGCCGCCGATGTCCTGGTTGAAGCTGGAATCGGAACCATAGTAGTACCACGATTCACGGTGGAACATGCTGTTCATGCTCGTCACGGACGACGTGTCCCAGGCGCCGATGTCCTGGTCGAAGGCGAGGGCGTTGTAGAACATGTTGCTCATGTCCGTCGCGGACGCCGTGTCCCAGGCGCCGATGTCCTGGTCGATGCCAATATATGTTCGAAAAATACACAACAATCCGAGCAACATTTTATATCAAGCGCGCCGGCGACGAGCGTCGCCAGCAGCGCGGCCCGCAGCAAGCCGCGGCGCTGCCGCCCCCGCATGCCCGCGCAGGTGCCCGCCCTCTTGTGGGCGCGTCGAATGCTCTTGAGGAGGGGGTCACGCGGACGAAGCCCCGGGCAGCCCGCGCGAGAGCGGGAGGACTAACTCGCTGCCCTCCCTGCCATACACCTGCTCGAATTCCCGACGTCGGGCGGCACGATATATGAACTTCATCGTGAAGTTACGTCAATCATCGAGTTCAACGGGGGCGCCTACCGCGTCGGCGCGCTCAAGGTGCCCGCTCGAGGCCAGCGCAACATAGCCCACTTAGCATACCCCGTCGTCGCGCGCGGGCGCGGCCACGGCGTCCCGGTCGACCGCGTCGAAGAGGGCGCCGCGGAACCCGCCGACCGCGTCGCGGACCGCGCGCCGCGCGACGCCCGGGTCGATTCACATCGCCGCCACCATGCGGTTTTACAACGTCGCGTCCTTCGGCGGCGCCGCGGGCCGCGCGGCGCCGAGCGTCGTCCCGACGGCGTGGAGCGGGAAGAGCGCGCCCGCGAGGGCGCAGTCGAAGACGGCGCAGGACCGGAGCAGCGCGCCCTCGCTCCCGAGCGCGTCCCGGACGCGCGCGTCGACGTCGTCGCCGTCGTCGGCCGGCGCGAGCCGATTCTGTAGCGCCACCAAGGCGTCGACGAGGTCCGGCGTCGCGCGGCCGCCGGCGACGCCCAGGGTCGCGCGGCCGCCGCGCGGGCCCAACAGCTGCGCGAAGTCGCCGTGGAGGTTCAGCGCGTCGCAGGCCGCGCCCGCGGCCGCAAAGGCCGCCTCCGGGCCCGGCGCGGCGTCGTCGACGACGGTCCCGCCGCTCGCGGCCGCGAAGGAGGCGGCGTCGCCGCGCAGGCACACGAAGGGCGCGCCCGTCCCGAGGCTCGCGGCGTGGTCGAGGTAGGCGTCGTCGCCGTCGCCGCCGGGCGCCGCGAGCACGACCGGCCGCGCCGGATCGAAGAGCGGCTGCTTCGTGAAGACGTAGTCGGCCCACGACGACTGCCTGCGGATGACCTCCGGCCACGCCTCCCAGGCCGCCTCGCGGAGCTCTAGCGGCGGCGGCGACGAAAAGGTCACGATCGTCGGCGCGACGACCGCGCCGGCGACGGGCGACGCCGCCGGCTCCTCGACGCCGACGATGGGCCCGGCGCCCCCGAGGAGGGCGCGCACGACCTGCTCGGGCTCGAGGCGCCGGGCCCGCACGCCGCGCAGCCGCCCGGCGGCGGCGATGCACGCCCGCGTGATCGTCGCGTCGCAGAGCGGCGCGGCCATCAGCACGAGATCAGACAAGTGGATCAGAGCTTAGAAAATTCTTAGACTTGTTTTGGCAGCACGCAACGCAAAAGCTTGAAGTCTCGTTGAAGCCGCGCGCCGGCCTCGCCGGACGTCGACCCACCAATCGCGCCGCGATGTCCATCCCCCGGGAGCCGATCTCTAGTTACGGCGGCGGGTGGTTCCTCTCCCTAGACGCCCGGGGGCAGGCCCTCGGCGAGGTCGCGGATCATGTTCTTGTGGTGGCTCTCGAGCGTGCCGCCGCCGATCTCGAGGAGCTTCGCGTCGCGCCAGAGCTGCTCGACCTGGTACTCCGCGACGTAGCCGTAGCCGCCGTGGACCTGGATCGCGGCGTCGGCGACCTCCTTGGCGACGGTCGTCGCCTACGAGACGCGACGTCGTCTTCCCGGCCTCTCGAAACTCGGGACTCCGGCGGTCGCGAAGAGCTTGACGCCGTCCGTGTCGAGGCGGTTGCCCGTGGACGTGAGGTCGAGGTCGACGGCCGTCGCGTAGAGGTAGGCCCTCGCGGCCATGAGCTTCGCGTAGCCCTCGGCGACGTGGCGCTGCATCTGGCCGAACTCCGCGATGGGCCGGCCGAAGGCGACGCGCTCGGCCGCGTACTTGCCCATGCGGTCGACGCAGCGCTTCGCGATGCCGACGGCCATGGCCGCGAGGACGACGCGCTCGAGCTCGAGGTTGCGCATCATGCAGAGCGCCGCGCCGTTCCACTCGGAGACGAGGTCCTCCTTGGGCACGACGCAGTCCTCGAAGACGAGCTCGGCCGTCGGCGACGCGCGCATGCCGAGCTTGCCCGTGATGCGCTGGCCGAGGGAGAAGCCCGGGTTCTCCGGGCCCACGTGGAAGAGGCTCACGTCCGCCCTGCCCGGCCCCGTCCGCGCGTAGACGAGCGCGCCGTCGCCGAGCGTCTCCGAGTCGACGCAGCCGTTCGTGATCCACATCTTGGACCCGTTGAGCACGTAGTGGTCCCCCGCGTCGACGGCGGCCGTGCGCATGCCCAGCACGTCCGTGCCCGCGCCGGGCTCGGACATGGCCATCGCGCAGACCTTGGACCCGTCGCACCTGCGCCGAATTCGACCGCCGGTTCGGGGGGTCCCGACCGAACTTTGGAATTCTCGAGCTCGGTCACATCGAAGTCGATTTGGCTGATTTTTGGACGAATCGATGGCTCTCCCCGAGTTTTCGAAGCGCAGCCGAAGAACTCGCGTCGAAACGGTCGAATGCGCGCGCATTGGCGATTTGATTTCCACACGGCGTCGCGCGCGCCGGGCAGCCAGCGCCGCTTCTGGTCCTCGGACGCGTTGAGGTTCACGTTGTTCACGTAGAGCATGGAGTGCGCGAGGTAGCTCAGCGCGAAGGCCGGGTCCGCGGCGGAGAGCTCCTCGTGGACGACGCACGCGGCGACGGCGTCCATGCCGCTCCCGCCGCACGACTCGTCCGCGGTGACGCCGAGGAGGCCCAGCTCGCCGCAGCGCGCGAAGAGCGCGCGGTTGAACTGTTCTTTTTCGTTGTACTCGGCGCGCTGCGGGTCCACCTCCTGCTCCGCGAAGGAGCGCACCATCTGGCGCAGGGCCACATGTTCTTCGGTGGGATTGTAGATGGAGAAGCGCTCCGACTCGGCCTCGAGCGCCGACGCCGTGCTCAAATGCGCGACGCGCAGCGACGACGCGGGCGCCCGCCGGGCGAGGGCGCGCGTGGCGACGAGCATGCTCCGAGCTCTGCGGAGAAATCGAGCAGCCAATCGAGTGAATTCTTGGCTTGTGGCAATTAGCGAAGAATTTAAGTCAAGGTGCATTTTGGCCTCGACGCGATGAGGCCAGCCTGGTGCCTCCTCGCCGCGTGCGCAGCGGCTCTGCGGCCGCCGCCGTGTCCTCGAAGCGCGCACGTCGCCCGCGACGCGGCATTACACGCGCCACCCGCCGGCGCGCGGCTCGCCGCCCTGTGCCTCGCGTGCGGTCTCGCGGCGGCGGCGCCGGCGCGCGCCGCCGACGGCGGCGCGATCTTCGAGGCCAAGTGCGCGGCGTGCCACGCGGGCGGCGGCAACATCGTCGCGCGCGGGAAGACGCTCGACCGCGCCGCGCTCGCCGCGAACGGCGTCGACGGCGCGGCGGCCGTCGCGGACCTCGTGTCCCTGGGCCGGCGCCAGATGCCGGGCTTCGGCGAGGCCTGCGCGCCCAAGGCCGCGTGCACCTTCGGCCCGCGCCTCGACGACGCGGCCGTCGCCGCCGTCGCCGCGTGGGTCGACGCGCGCGCGGACGACGGCGCGTGGGCGCGATGACCCCCTCATAAAAAAACCTTCCTATGTACAGCCCGTCAGCAGCAGGCGTCGTCGCGGACGAAGACGGACGTCGTCGAGACGGCCTCCCGCGTCTTGCGCTTGAGGAGGTCGTTGCGGACGACGTAGGCGCCGCCGCGGACGGTCCGCGTGATCGTCGAGACCGCGTCGTAGCCGACGTACTCCATGACCGTGACGATGGCGCCCGGCGGCGGCGGGTCCGCGGCGGCGTCCGGCGCGGGCGCGAGGGGCGGCCGCGCGCCGACGGCGGACCAGATGCGCACCTTCGAGCCGTCGATGGGGTGCGTGTCCTCCTGCTGGACGCCGTCCAAGCGGAGCCGCTGGACCTTGGACACGAGCGTCGTCACGGACTCCTCGGTCCAGTCGAGGCCGTCGCGCGATATGAGCTTGACGTTCGAGCTCCGGAGGAGCGTCTCCCGGATGACCCAGGGGATGCCGATGCCGAGGAGCTGGTCGCCCATGTGGTCCGACCGCTGCCGGTCGTTGACCCAGCGGCCGCTGAAGCCGCCCGGGTCGTCGCGCGCCGCGGGCCGGCTCGACGCCCGGCGCCGCGGCGACTCGAGGGCCGCGCGGGGCGCCGCGCGCTTCTGCCGGCCAAGCACGGCGAGCGAGAGCCGCGCGGGCCCGCCGGCGAGCGCGGCCGCGGCCCAGGCGAGGCCCGCGGCGGCGGCGGCGGCGGCGGCGGCGGCGTCGGGCCGCGCGCCCGTGGCGAGCGCGGCGACGAGCGCGACGCCCGCGGCCGCGGCCGGCGCCGGCGCCGGCGGCCGCGGCGCGACGACGAGGTCCGCGGACCCGCGCGACGCGACGACGGCGCCGCGCCGCGCGGCGGCGACGTCGATGTCCAGGGCGTCGCCGCCCCGCAGCGTCACGCGGAACGACGCGCCGGCCGCGTCGACGGCCCAGGCCGCGGCCGCGCCGTGAC